CCCTGGGAGAGCCAGGAGGTGCGCCGCGGCAAAGCAGGTGCACCCAGCTCTGGTATGCTCGCCGTCTCAGGCACCCCTGGGGCGCCAACCTTCAGCTCCTCTCTGCTCCCCTATAAGTAGGCTTTTGTTTGGGTTCTCTTTCATCCCCAAGCTCCACAGCTATCCAGCCCTTTTGCAATGAATCCATTTAGTCCTTCAAAAACAGAACCTGTTCTGATCGTTTTCCTCCTACTTAGCTACCGCTCGCTCTAGCGTCCACCTGCTGCCCTTTTAAATCTGATCTTGACCCAAGTTACAGGAGTCAGAAGCAAAGTCAGCACCTGGTTACTGGCCCTGCACCAGGTACTTGTATGAGGCCCAAGGAGCTGACTCTTTTTCTAAATCCCCTCTCAGTCTTCCTAACCCAAACCACACCACAAACCGAGGGGGAATCTCCACTTAAAAACAAAAGAAAATCCAGAAAACAAACCTCATCACCCAAAATACTGAAATGGAAAACAAATCCATACCCCCAGAGACTTGGTCTGAAACATACCAGAGCTGGAACTGGGTAAGGTGGCCAGAAATGTGTTCGTTTGGGCAAGTCTGTGACCCTGTAGAGGAAAAAGCTGACATTTTCCAAATAACAATGCGGGCAAATAACAACCGCAGATAATCATGTGCTATTGTTGCCTAAACCTGGGAGAAGGGTGAGGTCACCCTACATTTTCTTACCCTGAAAACATAAGATGTGATTTCTGGACCAGCTCTGGGCTCCTTCAGCCCTCCGGTCTGTACCTCAGATGGGATGCTTCTAGGGTTGTAAGCCAGAAACTGGTCCTCATTTTGAAATCCATAGCCACCTCCAGCTCCAAAAAAGGAGAGTGAGACAGACAGGAGCAGGCCCAGGTGGGGCACTAGATTATCGGTGTCAGTTCTCCTCAGTCCGTATATCTGCCGATGCGGAAACTGAGAAGTGGAGTTTACGTCAGTGGACCCCAGGCTTCCTGAACCATGTTCTGCTTCTTCCTTCAGCTGCCCAGAGAGTCAGGAGTTTTGGGACGTTCAGGAGGGGTGTATGGAAGCTAAATGCCTGGGAACATGGCCCAGGTACACGGGAGAGACAGAACACAGCTCCTTCTTGGATGTTGCTAAGACTGGATTTTTGTTTCAATGCCTTAGAGGAAAAGTTTTGGCAATGCTTTCCAAATATTGCATATATGCATGAATTACTGGGGGGCATCTTGTTACAAGCAGGGTCAGAGTCTTCAGGTCTGGGTGGGGCCTGAGATTCTGCATTTCCCAGATGAAGCCAAGGTTCTGGTCCATGGGTAGCAAAAATCTAAGAATTTGGAAGATTGGGACAAATCAGAGCCAGACGCAGCCAAGACTTCTAGGGACCGAGGACTGATATCCAGGCAAGAGAGAAAGAGACAAGGGTGCGTGCACTCAGCCAGAGATTGCAGTGGGAACAGACAGGATGACACGGGGATGGAGAAGAGACAGAGTCAGAGAAACAGGGGAGGCCAAGACAGAGCCCGAGCTCGAGGGGGCGGGGGTACAGAATGAGGAGAGAGAGGCTGGAGCTGGCCATGGACAGCTCACAACCACCCAGGTCCCACACAGGCTCAGAATCCCGACCAGCAGTGAAGGGACTCGCAGGTGGATAGGGACGAGACCTGCAGTGTGGCAGGTGTGCAGCCAGAGAGTCCTCCCCCTCTCTCTCTTTTTAAAAAAATTTTCTATAGACCATGTGAACTTAACACACACAGAGAGAGAGAAAGCACCCCCCCCCCGGGCGGGGGGCAGGGTGACCACACCACAATCCCTTCTCTATTTTTTTCTCCGGATTTTAGCACACATGCACACACACCTTGTGTGTTTCTCAAGCCACCAGGGTCCAGAACTTGACTCGCACAGCGGGCCACGTGGAATCCAGTCACCTCCACCACCATGCCACCTGGCTGACTCTCGTCCCCCTTCTTTGCCTACCAGCACCCTCCCATTGTCTCTGTAGAGTGCCACTGCCCCCCAGGACATTCCTCTCCTCATTTCCCCTTCTCTCTCCTATGTATTCAAGCTCTCTCTCCTCTTCTGTAAAGTTTATTTGTTTCTTCCATGAGTAAGGGAAACGGGGACCGAGACAGACAGAGGCACACCCGCAATGGGGTCTTGTTGCTGCCAGCCCCCCTCAGCCTTCAGCTGGCTCCAGCATCACAGTCTGCCCCTCAGCCTCTCTCATAACTGAATCCTTTCCAAAAGTTTGTTTTGTTGTTGTTTAACTTTTAAAATTTTTGCCAGAGAGGATAAAGCAACCCCAAGGCATATGTCCTAGCTGCAATCCCTTCTCCTCCATCCCTCTCTCCTGTCAGGATTCTGGGCAGTGTGCACAAGTGCGCGGCAGCTCCTGAGAGCCGAGTCTGGGACTCGAATCATGTATTTGACCATATGGGGTCTAGGTGTCTTAACCACAAGGCCATGGGCTGGCCTTTCTGAGGGTTTTAAACATGTTCAAGTCTTTTTCCACCTAAAAAGAGAACCCTTTCCTGACATCTCATTCTAGCCCCAGGGCTATTTCTCTTCTCCTTTTCTCAGTGGAGCTTCCTAAAGGAACCGCCAGCTTCCCTGGCTCTTCCCAAGCAGCTCGCACGAAGGTCGCGGCCGGCTGAGCGCTCAGTCCAGGCTGATGTCTCGGGCCTCCTACCCTTGTTTCCCTGGCCCTCTCAGCAGCGTCCAGTCCTCCTGACCTCTCCCTCCTCCCACTGGCTCCTGGGACTGGATATTCCCCTGCCCTTCTCTGACTCCTTTGCCAATGGATCCTCCATGGCCTGGGCTTCCACCGGAGGGCTGCAGATCTGGGTCCCGAGCCCTCTGTCCAGCCCGAGCTCTCCGCACCAGCTTCTCAGCCAGGCTCCCCTCTGTGTGCGAGGCCTGTCTCTGCCGCATCCGCTCACCATGTCCACCTGCAGGTCTCAGGGGCCCTTCGACCTCAACATGGTCAAAGCCCAATATGCTCTTCCTTCTTCTCCCAGGGTCTTTGTCACGGCCTCTCCACCCATCACCTGTCTGGGTGTTCGAGCCAGAGCGGGGATTGTGCCCTAAACACCTGTCTCTTTCCCCTCCCTTTTCCATACCCAGGGCATCCCAAAACTGTCAACTTATTCTCCAATACCTTTTGATGTCACCCTCTTTTCCTCATTCCCACCACCACCCTGGTCCAAGCCTCCAAGCTTTCTCACCTGGGTGACAGCGACCACCTTCTAAACAGCTTTCCCCAACCCGTCTGCCACACACCAGACAACAGAACCTTCGTAAAATGCAAAGCTGGTCACGTTGGCCCACCCTTTAAAACCTCCCTTGGCTCTGAGTATGAACACCAACTCCAGACGACCTTTCTGGAACATCTCACTTGCCCTCCAGGCCTTCCAGCTGCAGTCTTTCTTCCAGTTCCTTGAAAGTCCCAAGCCCCCTCTGCCACAGGACATTTGCACGTGCTGGACCCACTCCCTAGAACAGTACAGGACCCAGTAGCCACATGGGCTGTTGAGCACTATGACTAGTCCGACTGAAAAACTGAACTTCTACGTCTACTTCATTTTAATTAAATTTAAAACTTAAAAATTTGCATTGTATTCAGGTATTGGAAAACTGTTAAGTATCTGGAAAACAACTTGGGTATATGAATCTTCTTTTCCAACTTGAATTTTTATGAAATCTATACATAGATCAAATATTTCTGGTAAAAATTTAGTGTCTAAATTAAAATACGTTGTGAGTGTAAAAGTACACACGAACTCTGGAAGATTTCCTTTCAAAGCCGTAAAGAATTTCACTAATAATTTTTATGTTGATTCCATATTTAAAAGATATTATTTTCCATATAGTAGGTTAAATAACAGATAGAATTAACTTCACCTATTTCTTCTTACTTTTTAAACTGTGGCTACTGGAAAAATGTATTTCATTTCATCTCATTCATGTATTTATTTTTGCCAGAGGGCTCATGCACTCACCAGACAGGGGGGCAAAAGGAAGCGCCTTCATCTGGGGCATGACCACATGGCAGTCCCTTCTCCATTGCTCTGTCCTGTCAGGACTAGACAGGGTTTTTGAGCCACCGGGCCTGGGATCTGAATCACAGCCAGCCATGTGGGAGCCAGCTCCTTTAACCAGTAGGCCCCAGGGTCAGTCCAGAGAATTCTAAATTCCGAGGAAACCCACAGATCTCCATTGGACAGTGCCAGCCTAGAATGCCACTCCTTTGTCCTCAGTCCTTCGGCTTGTCCTTTGGAGCCTGGCTCAGATACCGCTGCCTCTGAGAAGCTTCTCTGAGATAAGGTCTTTGGTTTTATTCTTTTTTTTGTCCACTTTCCTGGCTACGTGTGTGTGAACGAGGCTGCCTGCCCGTGACTCTGCCTGCCCGTAATTACACGTGTGTCTTATGACGGCTTGAGGCGTGCCTCTACCCCACCGACCTCTCAGCGCTATGTGAGCCAGGTTGTATGCGTCTGGCTTCCCACGGAAATCCAAACACCTAGTCCAAAGCCTGGCACGTGAACGGCTGCCAGTGGACACTTCAGAAGGCCATGAGAAGTCACTGAATCCAGCATCCTGCCTTTGGGTGGGACCGTCCCCAGCTGTCTCCGAGGGCCTGAGCACCCGCTTCCCTTAGGAGTGCTATACAGCCCCTAGGTAAACACACGCTGCCTCTTGCAGAGGGAAGGCCCCCTCACAGCTGACCAGAATCCCTCCATGCAAACTGGCCAGGACCCTTGGTTCCAGCCTAGGGGTAACTCCAGCATTCCAGCACAGCTTCTTCTTCTTTTTTTTTTTGATTTTTTCTTGCTATAGGGCACGTGAGCTCGCCAGAAAGACAGAGAGACAGAGAGACAGAAAGCGAGAAATCCCCCTCCTGGGGGGATGGCCTCACCACAATCCCTTCTCCTCCATTCTCCTCTTGGGATCTTGGGCATTCACACACACATGCCTGGTGTGAGTTTAAGCCACCGGGTCCGGGACTTGAACCAAAGTTGACTACATAGTACAGCGCATAGCCATTATGCCAACTGCTGGTCCCCAGCACAGCTTCTTGAACTGTAACATGCACACCAGTCACCTGGAATCTTGTTACAACACAGACTCGGGTTCATCAGGTCAGAGGTGGGACCTGAGATCCCCCCTTCTAACTACTGCCGTCGCCACTGGCCCCAGCCGTGCTCTGAGTAAGGAAGACGCAGCGAGCCTGCGACAGCCTCCAGAGCAGCTCCAGAGTTTTCCGCCTGCTCTGGACTCTCTGTCGAGGAGGCTACTGGGGGCTCATGAAATTCAGCCCTGTCTCTGCTCGCTCCCCTGAGCACCTCACCAATCCTCAAACTCTGAGAAGGAAGCCGGTACCTGTGGCTACCGCTGTTGTTTTGTTTTGTTTTAATTTGAAATAAACCTTGAAGCAGTGTTCTGAGACAGATCAGCCCTGCCGGGTACCATGGGTATGTAACAGTGCTCCCCCACAGCAAAGGCCCACGCCAGGGGTACGGGCAGGGCCGGGAGGAGGCCTCCCCAGGGCCCAGCAGTCCTTGAGCCCCGGCTCCTGTCGGCCACGTCTGGCTGGTCCGATCCTAGCGGTTCCCCTGGAAGGCCCCGCTGTGCCACAGCTGGGCACCTCAAATCTATCCCCGGGTGTCAACCATTCGTGGCCTGCTGGCCCTCTGCCTGCCTGTCTTCCCGCCCAGTACCGTCCAAGGGATGCAAGTGCTTCCAGTGGCCTCGGCTGCATGTGTACATGTATGTACAGTCGTGTGTTTGCACATGGGAGTGTGTGTGTATCTGTGGGTGCATGGATGGATGGAGTATGTGTGTGTACACGTCCCCGACACGCCAGTTCAGGAGAGCTCTCATCACACAGAGCAGTGCTGGGCTCTTTCTGCATGGGTGGGAGGCTGGGCCACGTCCCTAGGTGGGCCCCACGGATGTGAGTGGCCCCACTGTCCCTTGCGGTGGCGGCTGCTGGCCCTTGCGTCTCCGAGCACCGGCGCCCGCCTCCTTGCTCTCCTTCCTGGCCAGGCTCCTGTTGGCATTCTCCCGCCGGCCCTGGCTGCCCTTCCGCCTCTTCTGCCCTGCAACAACCCAACAGCAGGAAGAATCCATGGAGGGTGTGCGGTGGCCCCGGGCCTGGCCAACGGCCCGAGGAGTGGTGGCGAGGAAGCTGGGGGTGGGGCAGGGAGGAGGCTGGGGGATGCTGCCTTTGGGTAGTCAGGCCACCTCAAGGCCACTCCAGAGGATCTGCAGCATGGGACCCACAGAGACCCTGAGAGCCTGCCCATCGCCCACCTGGTAGGCCAGACCAGATACCCTCCCCTTCCTGGTCTTCCTCAGACCTCAGATCCCAATGGGCCAAGGCCATTCCCAGGTGCTCAGTTCTCAGGACAGGCAGGACAGTCCCCATCCCCTGCCAGCCACCTCTGGGCCAGGCAAAGAGCAGCAGCCAGCTCCCTGCCAACTGCAGGCTGTGCAACCTTGGTCGAATCACTACACCTCTCTGGATCTCCGTGCCTCTTTCCACCCCCGCACCCCATCTGACCTCTGGGGGCCCTTCTGGCATGAAGGTCCACTGGCCCGGAAGAAATGGAAACTGGAGGGCTGTCAACCACAGGGGCGTCCAGTCCCCCGCCACAGAGTTCTGGGGCCCTGTTCCCTGCCAGGACATGGCACCTGGCTTGGACGGCATGGGGCCCTGGGTTGGGACTCTCTATCTGGCCTTGCCGTGAGGACTGCCCTGGGTGACAGGCAGAAAGCAGAGGTGTTGGGACTCCCTGGCCGGGAGGAGAAGCTGCCACTCACCGTCGGGACACGGTGTCCTCCGCACTGTGCACCTCCGGGTCTCCTTGGTGTCAGAGCAGGCGGTGTGGTCCCCACCAGGGGCATGGAGCACCCTGCGTGTGCGCTCCTCAGAGCCCCTCCGGAAACCACAGAGCTTCTTCTTCTTAGAACAGGGCCCCCATGGGGACCACTCACTCATTTCACATTGTGCTAGCAGGAAGAGAGGGCGGAGGGAGAGGACGGAGAGGAGGAGGGTCATATCTCCTCCTGGCCAGAATACCCCAGGGGGGCTTCCCCACCTGCCCTCTGCCTAGGCCTCGGACAGGGGCATCTTTAGTCTAGAGGGCAGGAAAGTCCTCAAGCAAGCCCAGAAGGTGGCAGTGGGGCAGGTGCTGTTCTCCGCAAGGTGCTCGCCCCCCCCTCCTCCTGGGGCTGCAGATGGTCGGCCACTGCGCCCACCCTAGCCGCAGCGCCCACCCCGCTTACCAGGGCTGCTGCACTCCATGGTGCCGTTGGCAGCTGTGGCGCCCTCGGGGCAGGCCGGGTAGCAGCGGCCCTTGTGCAGGTACAAGCCCTCCTTGCACTTGGTGCAGAAGTTGTGGCTGAAGCAGGCCTCACAGTGCTCGATCTTGCATTCTGAGGAGAGGACCAGGTCCGGGGGGGCTCAGGCTCAGCCTCCAGCAGCCACCCCCCGCCCCGCCCCAAAAGCCCTTGGCCCCTCGCCCCCCCACACAGAGGGCAACACCGTGGCCTAGAGCCGCAATTACTGCAGAGGAGTTGGGAGGCTGCAGGGGAAACAAGCACAGAGCCACGGAGAAGAGGCCAGAGCAGCCTCTTGACAGCTGGCTGGGGTCTTGCCATCAACAGCCAACCCGAACCTGAACCCAGTCTCAGGCCCTGGAGCCCAAGGTGAGACTCAGAACCAGTTTCGGAAGAGGGCCATGGGGCCTGGCTGGGGTGGTAGGGGAGGTTTCAGCCTTTCAGGGCATCCCCAAGGGCTACCCCATCGTTAAACTGAGCAGCTGAGTGCCCCCCCCCCAAGGGCGACCTGTGGTCTCCTCTCCACACTGCTGGGCATCCACAATATCCCAAGGCTGGTTCTCCTGCTCCAGGCAGAAAGAATCTGCTGAGGGGCCGGGCCCTGGGCAAATTCCTCTCCCCAGCAGGGCCGGGTTCCAGGAACCACCTAGGTTAGATGCCCGGGCTCCTCCCCGGCTCCCTGCTGCCAGTCCTCTCCTCTGGGGAGACGTGGGGCGTGGGGGCCGTGCAGGGCTCGGCTGGAAGCAGGCAGGGTCTTTCACAATCTCTCCCTCCCCAGGTGGTGGGGCTGCATCCTCCCATCTCTGGTACCCGAACCCCAGGCTGCCAGTTTCCAGACAGGCACAGCTAGGAACTGGCCACCCAAATGCTCTGAGGACCAGGAGGGCCGCTCCCAGGGTCCAGCCTCCAGCCTCTGAAGCTCCCCACACCACTACCACCTTCCTGGGTACCTCCTCGCGTCTGGGGCTTATGTCAGCCTCGCCTCCCTCTCCCTCCCTCTTTCCTTCCCCGATGCACTGGTTCCTCTGTTCAGCTGTCGGTAAAATAAGAACAAGAGTAAGACAATAGCAGCTATGGCTGACTTGAGTGCCAGACTCTAGGGCTTTAGACGTGCATCTCACAACGACCCTGGGCGGGAACAATTCCGACCGTACTTCCATTGTAAAGGTGAGATGTTGGGAGGTTGAGGTGCAGCCAAGGTCTCACAAGGAGGAAGTAGCAGAGTTGAGATCAGACCCCAGTGGGCTAATCGTGGGCCTGTCATTTCCCCTCTGGGCCTCCATGTGATCAGCTATCAAAGGGTACCATCGTGCTGGTCCTGACCCCCTCCAGATTGTCCTCGTGAGGCTCAAGGGACATGAGACCTGGAAGGCGGGGGGGACTGGCATTTTCCCTCCAGTGTGTTCACTGTATGTCCCCAGCATGTCACAGCTGTGGCTGCAGAAATGGGATGGAGAGGTGACAGCACATGTCTTGGGCCACGTGGAACTGTAGCTGGTGTGGGGAGCCCTGCTAGAAGGCCAGGGAGAAGGGGGAGGACAAGCAGGCTGAGAGCTAGACTTGGGTTCCCCTGCACGGGGGCCAGCTGGGTGTGGTGGTGTCTCAGGAGCATGTGTCTGGCTGAAGTGCAGAGGGCGGGCTGCAGGGAACCAGACAAGCGCCAGAGGACAGAGGAGCAGGGCTGCCATGTCCAGGAGAGAGGCTGCGGAGCGTGGGGAGGCACTGGCGGTGAGGACGGAAGGCAGCTGGAGCAGGCAGGACGTGGTTATTAGAGGGAGGGGAATGACATGAGTGAGGGGGCGGCCATCAGGTTTGTGGCTTGGGTGATAGGTGAGGACCAGTATGTGCAGGTGTGGAGGGAGAGGGGCTTCTGTGTGGCCCAGGCAGGAAGGATGGGTGGGAGACATCTGGCCAGCAGCGGGTACGTAAATCAGGAGCCTCCTCTCCTCTCCTCAGTGCCCCCCTTCCTCTCACCAGCCACGAGTGGTTTAAAGCACTCTGGCCCGCCGGAGGCTCCGCCCACACTCACTGATGCACTTGTTCATGTCGGGGTTGCGGGCGTCGAAGTATCCGGGCGGGCAGGATGGCAGACAGACGCCCACCTGGCGGATGTCGTTCCTCTCCAGCAGGATGAACAGCTTGGGCGAGCACTTGAGGCAGCCGTTGACCTCGGAGCAGAGCTCGCAGCCCTTGGCACAGGCCTGGCTGCCCTCGGCACTGACTGCAAGAGTGAGCGAGGGTGAGAAGCAGGTGCGAGACAGCCCTGTCCTTCGGCTGGGGTGGGAAGGGAGGAGACGGCCCTTCGCTCTACAGAAGGAATGCCTTGCTAGGAAAGCGTGGGCCGGGCTGGCAGCTCTCTGCAAGGATGCTTTGCAAACGTCCCCAGGAACCTGGCACAGACACCCACAGCAAGAACGCCCATGGACCCCAAAGGCCTCCCAGCTCCAGGCACGACGAGCTCAGCTCTAGGTTGGCTCTTCCATCCCAAGGAAGCAACTGAGGCCACACCCTTCCCAGAACTTACCGCTATAGCTCAGGTGTGGAAAGAAAGGTTTTTGTTTGTTTTTATCCCTGAGAAATTTTAAGGGCAAGAAGGATAATGGGTTGAACTGAGAAAAGGCCCCTCTGCACAGAGACAGGTAGACAATCGGAATAATCCATGTCCACAACCACGGTCTCAAGCAGGGACCATGTTGTTCCCCAGCAGACATTCGGACACCCCTAGGAACACTTTTGTCAGACCTGGGGAGGCTGTTGCTACGGGCATCCGAGGGCCGCAGAGGCCGGGCCACAGAGGCCGAGCCGCAGAAGCCAGGCCGCAGAAGCCGGGCCTGCCGCTGACATTCTGCAGTATGCAGGCCAGCCCCCACAGCCTGGAAGACCTGGTCTAAGGTGTCCCGGGGCTTTGAGGCAGTGTGATCGCCAGTCCCACACTGCCTTGGGCCTTCGAGCTCATCCCCTCTTCCACCTGTTCAACCTGCACTCACCGTGAGCCCTGGAGCACACAGACCCACAGAGCGGTGAATGCTGGACGCCACAGGCCAAGCAATAGTGCCCCCAAAGAGAAGAGAAGAATAGGATTCAGGAGGGAGGTGCCATGGGGGCCAACTTGTGAAGCATTAGTAGAGATTTGTCCTTGAGGACTGAAGGTTAGGACCCTGGAAGAAGCAGGACCACAGAGGTATAAAGAGGCCCACAGGAGGACTGCAGATAGTGCAGGGTGGGTGTGGGGACGGGAGGGGAGCAGTGAGAGGTGAGGGGTCCCCTTGCTACACCATGCTAAGGGGCTCCAACGTGATCCTACCAGGCAGCACTTTCCAAGAGTGATCCTATTAACCAGGGCACACGGGGAAAAGGCCACTGAGGCGGTTAGACGCGTGACCCAGCAGGTCAAACAAATCCCAACAGGACTCTTCCTGCAGGGCTCCCGACAACCGTCCCTACACTCCTCTGCAGGGACTCTCCCAGGGGGCACAGAGCGAGCTGCACTTCCCGCACGTAGGACACTTCTGCAGAGTTCTCCTCGCGACCTTGTCAGAGCTACCTAGACAACAGGGAGCCGTGGAAAGTGGAGCAGCATGGAGACCTGGTTCCTTGTGGGGGGACCCCTCTGGCAGTCAGGGTGGAGACCAGACTCTGAAGGGCTGTTTGAGAGCAAACTGACCAGATCGTCCAGGAGAGAAAGGCCCGTCCAGCAGCGATGGAGAGGAAAAGACAGACGAAGATGCTCAGGAACGTGATCGGCAGGCCCCGGCGGCTAACACGCAGAGGCACCGTGAGGAATCCAGAGTGATTCCCAAGCACCTGGCCTAGGGTGTGGGTGAATTATGGGGCCAGAGACTAAGAGAGACTCAAGGGAAGAGAAGCGAGTTGAGGAGAGTAGTAATGAATCCCTTAGGAGGACCCGGGCAGAGAGGAGGTGCAGGTGTGGGCTGGAGACAGAGCTGGAAATCGAAGTGGAGGGAGGAGGCAGGCAGCATGGCACGCCCAGGCGCGAGCTCAGAAGCAGCTGGACCTGGGGCTCAGTTCCCAGTCTGTGAGCCTGGGCAGGACATGGAATCTTTTATTTATTTATTTATTTTAAAATTTGCTACTGGGCACATGTACTCGCCAGAGAGAGACAGAGAGTAAGAGCGAGGAACAGTGAGACAGCACCATCCCTCCCCTCTACACCGCCCCCATCCCAGGGAATCCCCCTGGGGGATGGTCACACCACAATCCCTTCTGCTCCGTTCCCACTCAGGATTTTGGGAATGCATGTACACGCACACGCACCCGGCGTGTTTTTCAAGCCACTGGGTCAGAGACTTGAACAAAGAAGTCAGCCATGTGAGATTCATCCACCTTAACCATCATGTCACCATCTGGCCCTAGTTACAATTTCTTAAAAGTCTCTCTTCATTGAGAGAGAAAGACAAGCACCCTCGATAGCGTCTCACAGGGCACTCTGCCCAGCCCTCCCAGCCA